CCTCTTGACTGAGCCTACTTCTGGTGATCCGGCAGCGGGCAGCACTTTCAGGAGCAGTGTGCAATTCAGCACAATGGGAAGCAGCTGAACTTGGTGTCAGGCCTGGTTACAAACTCAGCTCTAGTTTCCAGCAGCTGTGTCAGGTTGGGCAAATCTTTGAGGCCTGGTTCTTCAATTTGGGTTAATGACCTTACATTATGGAGGCGCCATGTGATTAAATGTGACAGCACATGAAAAAGGCTTCGAAAGCCTTGGGACAGCAAATACATGGTATTCGTTTTGCGGGTGGGGGTCAGTTATTTAGGAGTAGTTTCTTCACTCTTTAGCCTTGGATTATATCGACTGATTTGATGGCCCCAACTTAAGAAGCTCCAGCTCATCCTTGGGGAAGACAATTCACCCCTCCATTTATGTGTAATTTTAAGCTCCTGTTATGGTCAGTGATATATCAGGTGCACATTTTCTTCACAGGGATATGAACAGCCTCATTATAAAGTAATTGAAGTTCTCACATCAACTGACTCATTGTGGGAGACCCACCCTACATCACAGGCAGCCCCATCTAGTGCATATGCATGGCGAGGGAGGATTTTACAATTTACTAAAATCTGAGTCCCGGTACCAACTTAGAACATTCTAACAGATGTTGGTGTTCATGTTATATTGAAATCAATATCCTAATGGTACCCTATGGCAAAGATATTGACGTATCTCCTTAGAAAATTATCATTCATCCCCACCCAATTTTTCCTCCTGGAAATCAGGTCAGTTCTTTAGAATCACTGCCCCACAGCAAGAACAGAGCAAGCCAGAGAGGACAATATTTTCAGTTGGTTTTGCAGGAGGAAAGAATGGTATGACGATCATTTTATATCTTCTAGAATAACACTTGAGTTCTTTGAAAAAAACCCAGTACTTTCACCTGGAATAGAAGTTCTAGCCCTTCGCTCTCTGTTAGCCATCATTTATGACTTTTTCCCTTCCTGCATATTAACAAGAGCCAAACCCCAAAGCCTTCTGCTCCAGTATGAGAAAGCTGCTCGCAGATACAGGTTTTTAGCTCCATCAAGTGAAGCTTGCAGTCTGAGATAAATCTTCCATCTCTTCCCTTGAACCTTCAGGCATTGTGAGTAAAACTTAACTATGGTCAGACCACCACCCTCTTCCCTTCATGGGCTGTGAAGCTTGTGACGGATGTGTCACCTTGGTGCAATCTTAGACCTGTGCTCAGCGGCTATGCTGCATGGCTCATCTCTGCAGAAGAATGGTAATAAAGTGAAGCAGTTCAATTTTTCAGGTCAGTTCTGAAAAACTAAGAAGGCCGGGCGCGCTGGCTCATGCCTGTAATCCCAGCACTTTGGGAGGCTGAAGTGGGCGGATCATGAGGTCAAGAGATTGAGACCATCCTGGCCAACATGGTGAAACCCTGTCTCTACTAAAAATATAAAAACTTAACTGGGCATGGTGATGCGCACCTGTAGTCCCAGCTACTCGGGAAACTGAGGCAGGAGAATCACTCAAACCCGGGAGGCGGAGGCCGCAGTGAGCCAAGACTGTGCCACTGCACTCCAGCCTGGCGACAGAGTGAGACTCCGTCTCAAACAAACAAAAAAAACCTGAGAAGAAGATATATCTTTACTTCAAACAGAAATCTCTAAGGAGCAAGTGGCCACAGCCTGCCTCTCACAAGCTGCCTGGCTCACTCTATTTCATTCCTGGAAATCAGGTGAGTTCTTTAGAATAACTGTCCAATAGAAGGCACAGAGTAAGCCAGGGAGGTCAACAGCTACTGCTCATTGCAGCAGACCAAGGGTGGTTTGCTGACAATGTCCATGACGTGTAGTTAGACAGACTCCAGTAGCAAACAGGGAGCCTGGCCTTCTCCATGCCTAAGTCAGCAGATAGGAAGGTCCAGGTCTACAGCACACACACGATGTACCCCAGATAAATGATTAATTTACCTGCTGTCAGAGGAAATGACTGTGGTTTAGTTCTGTCATTCTGCCAAAATATCTATCTGCTTTACATCCTGCAAAACGCATGTGGGACACTTATTCTTGTCTATTTGTATAAGAGCCAGGCAAACAGAATGGAAAACCAGCTGTAGCTCCCAACACAGCAGATGCTCATCACACACGCACACACTCACACGTGGTGACTGTTCCTCTATCTGGAATGTTCTCTTCTTCACCTGTTCTCTTGTGAACTCCACATCCTCTAAGTCCTGACTTGGAGAGCTTCCTTTGAGAAGCACTGAACCTCTGTAGCATCCTTGGGCCTGGGCATGCCTCCGTGATCGCATTTATTAGATGGTATTACGATGGCATTTTATATATGTGTCCTGCAAGACGGTGCGTTCTGTGCCAGATGTGGGACTTACTCCTCTTCTTGGAGCCTGGCATGTAATAGGTGCTTGCTGAGCCGGTGTGTGCAGAACAAGTCAAGAATGACTTATTATATTTGGTAATGATGCTATTTTAGATAGACTAGAGAGGCCTGTCATTCTTCCCCCCTATTATTTTTCTGGTCATTCCAAACTGGCTTCCTGATGGACCAACACCGAGGTCCACAGTGACCTGTTTCACTTTTTACTGTGCTGTGGGAAGTCAGCGCCGGGTCCACACAACCCCAGTGAGTGGGAAGCAGTGGAAATCGATATTCTCTCCTCAGGTCACCCCCTATGGTTGTTTCTAAGTTAAATACAAGCACAGCAGAGGGACTCAGAGATATTTGCTACAAGGAAAGATCACGAGCCCATGGGAGTTTGGAGTGGTTACACTTCATTAGGCTCCCCATAAAATGCTCCCCTATATAAGCCAGGAACTCTCCACTTACAGACAGCTGGACCTCAAGAAATCCTTTGGCAAACACAAAAGACTCTTTGGTGAAAGCTAGAGGTAGGTTGGTCCTGCCCAGGGACCGCAGAGGCAGCCCCAGAGACTTCTAAATGAACTGAGCCAACAGTTAGAAAACTGTCAGACACAGGCCGATAGGTGGGGCGACAGCCCAGGGCCCACAGGGCCAGTAAGCTCACCCCCAGCATGCTCTATGGATAGTGATCACAGGCAATACAGACACCAAGGCACCGTTAAAGAGAGAGAAACAATTTGAGGGTCCCGAGGGTGTGGAGAGGAATGACAGATGAGCCTTCCCTCCATGCCTATAATCTGTTTCTAGCTTCGGTTGGCTTAACATGTCCAGCTGGTGCCCAGCTGCTCAGTAGCCTTTTGGAGGCTGGGGAATGGTGGTAGCTGAGAGTGGGGGTGAGGAGAGAATGCCACCAGGCCAAAGGGTCACCTCCCAGTGCAGTACAGAGAATGAGTGCTGGTTTCTCCTCATAGGACTGAATTTCACTTGCACCAAGCCACCCAAGTCCCCAGAACGGAAGCCCTGCTCCATTCAAAGTCCCAGAAGGCCAAAGTGGAGACCGATATGAGCTCTGAGTCACACCCGACGGAATGAGCATTCTCAGGCCCTGCTGAGCAAGGAGTGGGGCTGAGCCACAGGAGGCCCTGGCTGAGGGCTTTAAGGCGGAGGGTGTGCCAGCTGCGGGCCTCTGAAACAAGCACCTGGGGACTCCTGCGTCTTCACTCACTTTTATGTTCCTACTCTCGTCGTCATTCTGGGCTCAGTGGTGACTGCTTATAAGAACACAGAGAGCTTTCCTACTTGCTTAGTGAGATTTGCCAGTGAATTCACTTTTCCATACCATGAAGTTGCCCACAGCTTCGACCGCAGGCTGGGCTATCCAGATGGAGACTTGGCCGTCCTAGGGAATTCTGTTACAGACTTCAAGAAAATTCTAAATACAGTTCAGAAAATCCAAAGGATTTGTTTCTCAGAGGCCAAAGAATGAGTGCAGCCAGCTCACACCCCTTGAGTGTCTGAGGGTCCACTAAGCCAGACAGATAGCCAGGCCGTTCTCCAGATTCTCAGGAAACTGCTAATGCCTTCCATGCAAGCCAGCTATTTGTAAGTGCAAGCCAAAGTCCCTTCCAGTGGCTTTTCCTGGCCTCAATGATCAGTAAAGAGGAAAAGGAGTGTCCTTGGTTTGGGGTACTTTCAGAATCTAAGTGACTTAAATGTCTGTTTTGGTCAATAGACGATTTTGCTCATAGGAAAAAAAATGTCTCTCACACTGCAGATGTTCATGTGAACAGCTCAGAAAGCATGCGCTAGGAAGGGAGCACTCATAGCTGCTGGGAAGAGGTGGCGCGGTCGCTGCTGTTGATAATATTTAAGAGGGTAGCCTAGAGCCTGTGTGGTTTGTGCACCTCATGCTAAGTTCCGACCACAGCACGCCATAGGTACAGAACACTGGGGGCTTTCTTCTGCTGGGTCAGCACAGCCCACAGCCAAGACCATGCCATGGAACATGAACGGCACATCATGAGGGATGCTAACAGCTGAGCCGGCATCTCAGGAGGAGAACCTGTTTTATAGGCAACACTCACATGGCTCTGGTTTTCAGCCCACACGACCCAGAAGGCAGCAATGCCAGAAACTCTCATCGCCACTGCCAATGTTTTCTGAACCTCCACCCTGTGGGATGGGCCCTCTTCAACTCTGGGCTCAGATGTGTCACCTGCTTTGGGCTTTGCTGCCTTGATTTTCAAGCTACATATGGAGAAACCATCCCTTTGGCTTTCACAAACCTCTCAACATGGACGGCAGGCACTTTCCCTGTGCAGAATGCATTCAGACACACATAACTGCAGACAGCTGCTGGGGTTCCCAGAGCCAGCGAGTCTATCCCAGGAGCTGGGACGTAATCAATCCTTCCCCATCCCCACAGAGGTCTTCTCATGGCATCAGCCAAATGGTCTTAGTGCAGAAGCTCAGGTATCACAGGTCCCCTGGCCTCTCCATATTATGTCTCCGAAGGGTAGAATGAGTTAAATTTTCTGAGCCCTCATGGTCGGTGTCACGGTGGGGTGGAATACATTTGAATGGGCTGGCGCAAAGCTGAAAGCAATAATGAAAACAAATGGAGAACTCACCACCATTTCCTGGACATGAAACATCTCTGCACCATCAGACGACAGTCGATTAGGGAAAGAGATGCTGACGGATGACCCTGGAAGGGTGCTCGGGCCAGTGTTGTAGATCTGTGGGTGCGGAACACACACAGCAAGTCTCAGTGGAAAATAGCAGACCTCCATTTCCTGTCATGCAATATATATTCTAAAATTCTTGGAAATCCTATACAGAAACTCTAAGGCTTGGAACTAGAAGGTCATGACTGGAAGTGAACTACTGAACGATGGGAAATGTCAACAAAACAGAAAGACTTCTAACATGCATTTAAAAATCCCAAACTTTGAAATTATCATGTTCCCTTTCAGCATTTTTTTGTCTTCTTACTAAAAATTATTTTTTTTACATGCATAGGAATTTAGTCATAGAATGTTACACTTGGTGAAAACTCAGACATCATAATCTAGTCCAGTGGTTCAGGAATTTAGTCATAGAATGTTACACTTGGTGAAAACTCAGACATCATAATCTAGTCCAGTGGTTCTCAAACTTCAGTATAACATCAGAACAACCAGAGGGGCTTATTAACACACACACTGGTGGCGGTCATAGAGTGGGGGTCATGCCCAGAGTTTCAGACCCAGTAGGTCTAGGATGGGGCTGGCAGAGTCACATTTCTAACATGGCCCCAGGAGGTGCTGATGCTGCTGGCCCAAGAACCACCCCTTGAGACGCACTGATCTGGTCCAACCTCTTTCTTTTGCTAGTATGAGGTAGCCGAGGCCCTCAAGGACCGAGTGGGTCATCCCAAAACCAAGTGACCTAATATACAGAAAGGGCTGTGTTTACTACAGCAGCCAGCGATGTGGTTTCCAGCGCCCCTGCAGCTTATCACTTGCACGACTGCACCCCTCTTCTGTCCCAGCATTTGGTTCTATAAAACTTTGCCCCTCTTATTTTCCCTAGCATTTCTCCATTTTCTGTCTCCAGAAGTCAATCATTTTCTGAGAAATGAGGAAAAAGATGGAGGGCACAGAGACCAATAAGAGCAAGGAGGGAGAGAAAAAACCTGAAACTCAAGGGAGAAACAATCTACAGAGGAATAAAAAAGGTGAGTAGATCTCTAAAGACACGAAGCAGATTTGTGGTTGCTTAAGGCTGGGGAGCAGGAAGAACAGGGAGTATGACAGGCAGTGTCACGGGCCCCCAAAGATGTCCAGGTCCTCATTTGTGGAACCTGTGAATGTCATGTGGCCAGGGAGAATTCCGGTTGCTAATCAGGTGACCTTAAAATAAAGAGGTTATCTTGGATTATCCAGGTTAGCACATTGTACTGACAAGGATCCTTCTGGAGGGAAGAGGCAGAAGTCAGATCAGAAAGAGAACATCCTAAGACTCAGCCAGCCATTGCTGGCTTTGGACATGGAAGGGGGCCATGAGCCAAAGAGTCCAAGTGGCCCTCAGAGGCTGAAAAGAGGCAAGAAGTGGATTGTCCCCCGTGCCTCTGGCAGGAACAGAGGCCTGACACTGGTTTCAGCCCAGTGAGGCCCATTTTGGACTTCGGTTCTCAGAACTGTAAGATAATAAATTTGTGTTGTTTTAAGCCACAAATGTTGTTATTTGTTACAGCAAGAATAGGGAATTAATACAAGAAGTTATGTCAATGGGTTCGGAATTTTTCATATTTCAGTCCAGAGGTCTCTTATTTTTTTTTTTTGCACCTATTATGCCATGATTTCATAGGGAATAGGTTCCAGCAGTTCAGGTTCCTCTCCACTGGTCCTCTGGGGGTGTGCTTCTCTGGGGGTCAGGCTGGTACTTCAGTTGAACCCAGGCACCTTTCTCTTTGGCTTCCTCCTCCTCCTCCTCCTCCTTCTTTTTTTTTTTTTTTTTGAGACAGAGTCTCACTCTGTCGCCCAGGCTAGAGTGCAGTGGTGCAATCTTGGCTCACTGCAACCTCCGCCTTCTGGGTTCAAGCGATTCTCCCTGCCTCAGCCTCTGGAGTAGGTGGCATTACAGGAGCCTGTCACCATGCCTGCCGAATTTTTATATTTTAGTAGAGATGGAGTTTCACCATGTTGGCCAGGTTGGTCTCAAACTCATGACTTCAGGTTATCTACCTGCTTCAGCCTCCCAAAGTGCTGGGATTACAGGTATGAGCCACTGCGCCTGGCCAGCTTCCTTTTTTTCTGATCATTTTCCTTCATGCGTTTCAGGAAGCTATCTTGACTCTTACAGTCCTTAATGTGCTCAATACACACATTAATTCTCTTGGCAAGAATCTTGCCCTTAACTTGTTTGTGTGCAACAATGCCAACAGCATGCTGGTAACACTGTAGTCTCTTCCAGTTCAGCTGCGGTCACACTTGTGGGGCATTCCTTTTTGAGTAGTGCCCATTCCTTTGATGTCTACAATATCACCTTTCTTACAGATTCCCACATATGTGGCCAAAGGAACAATTCATGTTTTCTTCTTCTTCTTTTTTTTGAGACAGAGTTTCACTCTTGTTGCCCAGGCTGGAGTACAATGGCATGGTCTTGGCTCACTGCAACCTCTGCCTCCCGGGTTCAAGTGATTCTCCTGCCTCAGCCTCCTGAATAGCTGGGACTACAGATGCCTGCCACCACACCTGGCTAATTTTTGTATTTTTAAAAGTAGAAATGGGGTTTCACCGTTGGCCAGGTTGGTCTCGAACTCCTGACCTCGTAGTCTGCCCACCTTAGCCTCCCAAAGTGCTGGGATTAGAGGTGTGAGCCACCACACCTGGCCCAATTCCATGTTTTCTAAAAGTCATAGAGAACATACAGCAGGGGCCTCTCCTCTTTCCCTTTGTGAATTTTGGTGAATTACTAGAAGATGGTGGTTCTGGCCAAAAGGCTGGAATTTATTTTGGGGGTGATCAAAATGTTACAAAATTTTGCAACAACATGGATGGAACTGGAGTGACTATGCTAAGTGAAATAAGCCTTGGGAGACTAAGCAGGCAGATTGCTTGAGGCCAGGAGTTCGAGACCAGCCTGGGCAATGTGGTGAAACCCCATATCTAAAACCCATCCCCAACTCCCCCCCAACAAAAAAAAATTAGTCAGGCATGGTGACATGTGCTTATCATCCTGGCTACTCAGGAGGCTGAAGTGGGAGGATTGCTTGAGCCCAGAAGGATGAGGCTGCAATTAGCCGAGACTGCACCACTGTACTCCAGCCTGCATGACAGTGAGACACTGTCTTAAAAAAAAAAAAAAAGGAAAGAAAGAAAGAAAGAAGCCAGGTATGGAAAGATGAAGACAAACATCACATGTTCTTATCTGTGAAAACCAAACAAAACTGAACCAAAACGACTGAACTCATGGAGACAGAGGGTAGAGGGACAGTAATCAGAGCCTGGGAAGGGCAGTGGGAAGATGACTATGGGGGAAGAGAGGGATAGTCGATGGATTAAAAAAATAGAAAGAGGCCGGGCGGGGTGGCTCATGCCTGTAATCCCAACACTTTGGGAGGCTGAGGTGGGCGGATCACGAGGTCAAGAGATCGAGACCATCCTGGCCAACATGGTGAAACCCCATCTCTACCAAAAAACAAAAATTAGCTGGGCAGGGTGGCACAAGCCTGTAGTCCTAGCTACCTGGGAGGCTGAGGCAGGAGAATCACTTGAACCCAGGAGGTGGAGGTTTCAGTGAGCTGAGATTGCACCACTGCAGTCCAGCCTGGGCAACAGAGACTCCATCTCAAAAAAAGGAAGGAAGGAAGGAAGAAGGAAAGAGTAAGACGCAGCATTTGTCCCCACAATAGGGTGACTAGTCAATAATAATTTAATTGTACATTTTAAAGTAACTAAGAGTATAACTGGATTGTTTGAAACACAAAGGATTTCTGGAGGGGAAGATTACCTCCACTTTACACGATTAGTACGTACTGCATGCTTGTAAAAACATCTCATGTACAGCATAAATGTATACGCCCACCACGTACCCACAAAAATTAATACGAAAAATTTTTGTTAATATTCTAAAATTAGATGAGGATGGTTTTACAATTCTGTAAACATTAAAATAATTACATTGTATGTTTTAAACGGGTGAACTTTAAGGTACGTAATCATATCTCAATAAAGATGTTATTTTTAGAAAGATGAGTAAAATATGTAAGTTTTGTCAATTTAAAAAGGATGAGTAGAAGAGAGGAAGAAATGCCACGCTGCTTGGTGGCCTGGGGACTAGATAGAGAATCCAAGGACTCTGCAACTCTGAAGTTGAGGTCAGAAGGGCAGAGCCAAAAAAAAAGCCAGAAATCTTACCAGGTCTTCACACATGACTGGATGTATAAAGACCCAGCTCAGCCAGCTCTTCCCTAGAAAACCATGTCTTTGCTTTTTTGCAATAGTTGATTCTGCTTCAAAGAATAAATAGATAAAAACTGATGGAGCAGACGAGCGGTTGTTGCCAACTCTTGATCCAAAAAAGAACAATATTCACCGAAACAACCTGAAGACATAGAAGAGGAAGGAGCATCTGACCATCGCTGAGATAACTAATTTGAAATGAAACTTGAGTGCACAGAATTAAAAAGACTCCTCCTGGGGTGTCTGGGAAATCCCAATTCAAGCATGAATGGGGGTAAGCAATGAAGAAAAAGATACTGATTTACACTATTTCCCTCATCAGAGCCAGGAGGAAGGAGAGCTTGTATTACCATCTTTAACAAATGTCTTTATATTGGATTCTCTGCAAAAGTTCATGTGCAATATCTGCATTATTTTTGGCCACTTGTTTTCAGGTGGGGAAATGGTTTAAATTTTGATGCCAAAAAAGCCTTTCAGTTGTCGACAAATTAATGTATCTGTTTAAAAACTGTGATGAAAATAGAAAGCAGGCCCAAGACTAGTGTTGCTGCTTCTCTCCCGTCTTCAGCAACAGTGGAGTCTTTAAACAATTATGTGGCTTGCTGAGTAACCGATTTTTTGCAAAAACATGGAAACATCTGTCCATATGGAAAGTCTTATGTTCTCCTTCAGGAACAATGTTACTGAAATAAGGAAATATAGAAGCATCTTCTCCGTATTCCTGGCCTCCTCCCGCACTGTTTTCACCTTCTGGTCATTATCACTGCCAGCCTGGTCAGGGACCTTCCTGCGGGACAACCACAGCACCATCCTACCAATAAATCAGCAGGCGGACAATTCACAAGGAAAAAGTGGGCTTCGCTAACCCAAGAGGATCTCCTTCTAATCAACGGCACACACCATCAATCTTTCGGACCCAACTCTCTCAGCCCTAGATTGAATGCTGTGCACTTCCTCCGGCAATGGATGGCGGAGGAGTTTACATAAGGGGCATGCCAATCACTCATCCCCCAGGGCCGGATTCGCTAGCCTGGGTCCTATTTCAGGTCAGATGTGAAGAACGCTATTTGCCCGAATACCAAACTTTAAGCTCCCTGTAAAAATTACCTTCAGAGAAACAACTGAAAGGTAAGCTTCAGACCCTCAGATTTCTTTCTTTTTTTTTCCAGAGGATGATAAGAACATTCGGTATCTTCTGTGCAAACCCCATTCTTCTTTCCTTCTTCAGCACTCGGACCCTCTTCTTTGCATGGTCTGTGTCACTTGAACCCTTCTAAATAATTTTCTGAACCTATCTTTAAATGCAAGACACCCCAAAACTTTATATAAAAGTAGGAAGGAGTATAAACAACTAAAATGAAATAAACTCATCTAGTCTTTATTTCCTGCCCAGTTACGAAAAGCAAAGGAGAAAAATAAAATAACTCCGAGAAGCAATTCAGAAATGCAGGGGCGCTATTCACAGCAATCACTCTACTGTCTCAAAAGTAAACTCTAGCCCCATCCTTCCCTTCTCCCCCGTAAATCAAGGGCAGGGTATGACAGCGGGGGCTTAGCTGGTTAGAAGGCACATCCTCTGTGAGCTGGGGACATGTGTTATCTATCATGGTTTCAGGGATAGGTTGCTGGGTGAATACTCTGGAGAGAGGAAGACCATTGTTTGCCAGAGTCCACAAATGTTTTACTGCCACATTCTCTAGACCCTCACCCTGTCATTATCTGTCATCCCCTAAGTCCACCTAGGAAAGAAAGGCCACAAGGAAAGAAAATAATTATTATTTAGCCACAGCAGTGAATGCCAGAGTGGGAAACCATTTCTCCATGGGGAAGGATGCAAGATGCAGAGAAGAGCTCTGGGAGGTAGAACCAGAGAGTGAGGAGATATGGCCTGCAGGGTCCTGTGGGCGAGCTGGGCCCATCTGCCTCACTTCATCCATACGGGGTCTGGCCAGTGCTGCCAGGTTTTGACCCCAGCCCGGCTTCTCCCAGCTCTGGGACCATCAGCAGGTCCTTCCTTGCTTGGGCCTGCATTTTCTTGTGTTTGCCAACTGAGGGGTCTGGACTAGCGGATGTCAGGTCCCTTGAGCTTTACATTCACAGATCCACAGGTTGAACTGCACTGGCCTGAGAACTCACAAATTAAAACACAGGTCAGCAAACTCCCACCCAAGGCCAAATCTGGTCCAGTGCCTGCTGTCCTACAGCCTATGAGCTAAGAATGGTTTTATGTCTTTAAGCGACTAAAAAAAAAAAAAAATCAAAAGAAGAATCACATTTCATGATGTGAAAATTAAATGAAATTCAAATTTCACTGTCTATAAGGAACTAAGGTTTCGTTTTGATGTTATCTATGGCTGCCTTTGCACTACAGAAGTATGGGTGAATAGTTGCTGCAGAGGACGAATGGCCCACAAAGCCTAAATTACCCTGTGGCCCTTTTCAGCAAAAGTTTGCTAACCCCCAACTAAGAGAAGAAGCAGTGTCCTTCCCGCTGTCCCCCATCTACACCAAGTGGACTTGCTGGAAACAACGCCTGTGAGCCTGAGGCAACGGCTCAGTGAGGGAGGAGCATGCCTCCCGTGGGAGGGTTCACGGGCTCACATGGCCCTGCTCTCATAAAACTGCCCTTCTGAAAGGCTGTTCCTGTGGGAGGAATGGGCTCCAGGATGACTTGGCAAGAACATCCCAGGAGGAAGGGACACAGCAAATCCTCTGAGGCAGCCCTGCCTGGAAGATGGAGAATGATGGAGAACAGAAAAGGGTCCTTATGAGGACATCTGGGCTGGGACATTGGCCGATGCCTCCACCACGCACAGGCCTTCTTGGGGAAAAGTGGCATTCATCACATGGACCTCTCCTCCCAAGTCCTGGAAAGCCGAGGGGCCTGCACAGCAGAGTACCAGGGAGGGAATGGATTCATTCTGTGGGTGGGCGCACACACACCACACCAGCCATCCACAGAAGGGTTTCTCCTGACAACAGCCCGGCCCTCTGTAGGAGAGACATCCCATGTGCCCTTCTGTTAGCCCCCAGGGACAGAGATGGTCCAGGGGTGGGTACCTGAAGGGTGATATTGATGGGCTGAAAGTGACACTCCAGGTCATCCAGCTGAACGAAGTTGGCTGCATCCATGGACTCGCCATATACAAAGGAGGTTGGAGACATGATTCTGAAAGAGGAAAGCATGAAATCTGTCATCCCTACCCACGGTCAAGCACCCGCCATCACTGCCATTCTGAGAAGCAAACATTTGTCTCCATTTAGCCCCGTCTTCCACGCAGTGCTCCCCTGCTGGGCTGTTACTTCTCTCTCGCATGAACAGACAAAGCAGGATTGTGCCGACCAGGCACGTAAAGTAGTGTCTTCTCATTTTAGGTCAGGTCAATAAGCTGCAATGCAGAAGTACGTACTGGGATTACCTTTCTGAAATCACAAGGAAGAGTATCGTAGCTCTGAGCTTCTGAAAACTTTTTAAAAAGTACCCATTTTGTTTTGACATTTGAAAAATGTTTTATGGGTTGAAGATGATGATGATGAGCTTTTAAAAAATAAATACAAATGAGTTATATATTCGGCATCCTAAACCCCACTCTATGACAATTCACTTAAAAAACTTAATTTGTCAGACTACCGAGATGACTAGAAGTTAGGCATTTGAAAGCTGAGTCTGTTCATTGATGGCATTTTCCCTTGGATTTCAGAGGCAACCTAAGCGGTGAGAAGAATTTGGGCTCAGTTTGCACAATACTATCCACGTTGCTTATCTGAGCAAATCCCTGAGAAGAAACGAAGCTCAGACTGACACTCCCAGACAAACATCAGGTTCTAGATGCTGGAGGCCACGCACTCACCTTTACCCAAACGCAACAACTAAGTCCCAATGGACAACAACTCATCTATTTTCATCGTTTAGTGCATTATTTTAGTAATATAGTGAGTTCCCAGCATTACCTAATGGCAATAACAGTTTCAGGTTCCTGGAGAGATCAGAGGTTGACTCATTTGTTTACCTGATGAGTTCATCAGGGGCTGTTAACACCTCCCAACGAGGTCCTCTAAGGCCTGACTACATGATCAAGTGTCATCTGAGGGGGAGCGGGGAGGGATGTTTTCTCTTTGTCCCCAAGGATAGGGCTTGGTTCTGGGTATATTCTTGCTGTGCCTTCGATGAGACAAGTAAATAAATGATACAGCTAAAAATAGAGCTGTGAACAGGGGCAAAAATATGCTAATTTGCAAATATTTTCCACCAGTGCCTCATGTTTAAAAAACATGATCAAAACCTCCAGGAGCTCAGTAACAGAAAAGCCTGGAGTCTCATTCCTCTGGCTCCCAGCAGAGCGTGGGCGAGTACAGGGACGGCTTTCCCTGCCACGGATCAGCATTCCCACTTCCAGGCAAGGCTGGGACCCAGAAGCATGTGGAAACTGAAAAATGAGAAACTGTGAACCTCCAGAAAGTTCAGCTTGCATTTGGGTCAGGGGTTCCGTGGGTCCTCATCTGATCTAAACTAATTGTGTAAATCTTTTCTCCCCACTATCAAAGAGGCATGCACTCGGTTTTCTGAAGCTGGAAAGAAACTGAGTTCTCATTTGTCCAGGTCAGGGCTTAGGCTGAAAGCTGGCCCAGGCTGTCTCAGGTCTCCACAGACCGCGGCTCAGGGTCCTGCTTTCCAACAATGCCAGCGGCACTGAATGGCTGCGGACTTCACGTGGACACATGGTGTGGCCGTTGGGATGGTTCCCTGCCCATTCCAGTCCATTCAGACATCAGGAAGAGCCACCTCCGGCTCCGCAGAAGGCGTTAACAGAAGCCAGCAGGGCTAGCACTGACTGTGGAGCTAATCAAAAGTGGCCCACCTGGAGCCAGGGCTGGAGACACATCTAGTGGTAACCTCTGGTCCAGCAGCTTCCAGCTGAGATTTTAATCCCAGGAGCCATACTGCCTGTTACTGTACAGCATTCTGAAGGAACTGGGGGTGGGTGGGAATATATGCATATAAAGGTATAAGGAATGTTCAAAGAAATTATGGGGCTTAAACTTGTCGTCAAACTTCTCAGGTTATCTGTCAGGTGTGTGGGTAGCTGGGACAGAGGAGAAAAAAGGAGGGAGGAGGGTATGAGTTCCTGCAGCTAAAGCTTCCTCCTGCTTTTCAAGGCTGAAAGGAAGCAGGGGTGGCACAGCTCCTGGCTCCTGGCTCCTGGCTGGCTACACATGCAAATATGAGAAGCACAGTGTTCCACTGGAGGGCACTCCTGTGTTGTGGCAACGAGGACCGGGCTACTCACCCAGTGATGGATGTGTCCACCTCGTGCATCAGCGGCACCATCAGCGTGAGGGTGTTGTCATGCAGGGATTCAGAGCGCTCCAGGTTGCCACTGTGCAGGGAGAGAATGAATGAACGCTGGCCAACATGAGCCATCTGGCAGTGGGCTTTCGCTCTTCCACTTTAGAGCTGAACCTCTACATTCTCCATGGGCAGATGGCACCTCAGTGTCCTCAGTTCTGTTTGTGGTCCCTGTACACATCCGTAGAGGGTGCTCTATTGTCTTGGTTGCGTCCCATGCAAAGATGTGAGCGTAAGTAGTTTACTCGGGAGGCGGCCCAGGAAAGAGCAGCAGAAGTGGAGGGGGAGACAGCAAAGGAAGGAGGACAGTAAAGGCACACCAGGCAGGAGGGCTGTGCTGTCAGCAGTCAGTCTTCCTAGCTGAGAACATGGGAGCCAGGCCTTTATCCACTGACTCGTAAAAGCCGCTGCTGCTGCTGGGGTGGGGGTGGGGAGAATGAATCCCCTGTCACCTGCCTGTCAGGCATGTGAGTGGGCTTTGGCCAGAGAAAGCCTCAGCAGGGTGGCCAGTGCTGGGAGCTGGAATCTGCCCAGTTTCCAGGGGATAGTTTGGGAAGGGTGAAGGCTGAGGGGTTATGGGCAGGGTACCCCCCGTGTGAACTACTTCTGTATGTGCCTCTTTCACAAACAATGGACCAGTGAAGTTAGGTCACTGCAGCCAGGAAGAGGGCTGCTCGACTTCAGCAGCTATGTCTCATCTGAAGGGACCACCCATCATCCATGGACAGCCAAGCCCAGGAAAGAGGCCCTGGCCACACCTACTGCTATCAGCATCATGGAACTCTTGCTACAGACCTTGGCTATAGCAGGTTCACATAAGGCCTCCCGCTCCGGGTGAGAAAGCACAGAATGGGGATTCTTAGGAGATCATTCTGGAAAAGTGACATGAAGGAACTGATGCTGTTAAGTGGCTACTAGGTGCCAGGCACAATGCCAGGCATTTCTCAGCATGATCTGAGACCTCAGAGCAGCCCCGGAGGGAGATGGAGCACCCACCTTTGACAGTTAAGGAGGAGCTCAATAGGTCAGGTAACCTGCCCAAGGCCCCCCCCTGCAAACCAGAGCTGAGATTGCAACCAGCTCAGGGTCAGACTTGAAACTAAGGATCTCTTGGCTGTGACTCCTGTTCCTGATGCCAGATTTGGGGGTGAGAAGGAAGAGGAGCAAAAGAAGGGATAAGAAGAAGAAACAGGAGGAGAACAGAGAAGACCTAGTTTCCCTTTATTACTTTATTAAATTTCTACTATAAATTGTGATCATCATTCCAGAGAAACGACTGCTTTGGGTAAATGCACAGCTCTTGGGTGCATGTTCCTGAACCTGTATTCACAGTTGGTTCCCAAGTTCACCCTCCATGGATGGAACAAGAGTCCCCCAGACCTGCCTAGGCTAGACTCAGCTCATCCTGAACACTCCCCACCCATCGCAGATGTGATTCCCAGAACATCTTCTGAGTCCCTGTCTGCTCTGTGCCCTCTCTCTGCCCCCTCTCTGCCCCCCTTCAAGCCCTGCCCACTGCCTTCCTCTCCCACCCAGCAAGTGCTGAATGGCAACAGTACCTAAACAGCTCTCACATCCCTTCTCTCCTATTGTTCTGAAACAATGGTGCTGTATGATCCTGACCACACAGGGCCACAGTCTCTGCCCTGGCTCCTCGTCTGTCTTCCTACGTGGGGTGACATCAGTCCCTCAGGGGCCACAGTTTGCAAAAGCAGCAGGATCAGGTGCCCACACAGCCTGACTTCTCTATCCTTCCTTTCCCAAGGGATGACAGAAACCTCAGGATCACTGCTGTGGGCAGGCCAAAGGCGACTCCCCTGCGGATGGACAGACACCATCCTGGCCCGTTCCCGCCCCCACCCTAGCATCCTGCCAGGTCTTGCCCTGCCCTTTGTTTAGCCGGCTTAGGCCCAACAGTCTCATCTGTCATCGTGTGACTGCTCCAGAATGAGCTAAGTTGAAAAGTTGAGATAAAAACGCCAAACATCAAAAGGCTTCCCATCATTCCAAAAGCTCGTGAGCTGGGATGCTTTCCAGTGGTCTGCAAAGGCCAGGCTGCTGGCTGCGGAGAGGAGAGGTCTCCGGAAACTGCTCAGTCTCAACTTTATGTCCTCCTACATCTACGAGGAGGCAAAGAGACCTTCAAAGGGCAGTGACGGAAGAAAGGAACGATTGAGATTTTAACTGTAGTTTTCAAGATAAGGAGATTTAAGGATCCTTCCGTGATAGCAGGGAGTCAAGTGCTGCAGGTGCCCTCTGGGGCAGTCAGACCATATCCTCACCAATGCCTGAAATGAGTGTCTAAAATATTCTGGTGTGCGTTTAAAGATACTATGGCCACCTTAACGTTGGTGATGTAAGAAATTAGGCATTTTTATATTATTGAAGCTACAGATCCTAGTGCTTTCTGAAGCTATGCAGCACTGTTAGTGTACACGGGGGGTGTTCTTGAATTCAGTAGGTTACTGTCATTTTCATGTGTGCCCAGGATTTAGCACTGCAACTGGTAAACAGAAGGTGCACAGTACATATTTATTGAGTGAAAATGTGCCCAGCGCAGAGTAAGGGATTATAAATGGTGGTTCTTAGCCTTGGCTGCTCGTTAGAATCATTTGGTGAGCCCCTTTGAAAACCCATTGCCCAGGTCTCACCCCAGGCCAATTTGGTCAGAGTCTTTGGGGGTAGATCAGGCATCAATATTTTTGAAGGCTCCCCAGGTGATTCTAATATGCATTCAAAACCAGAGCACTGCTGCTGTGTGGACATGTTATCCTAACAAATGAACCTTTCATGACTGCATTATTGGCTCCCTGCCCTCTGACTGCTATGATTAGCCCTGAATGAGGTGGAGGCAGGAAGTATCTTCTTTTCTGACAAGGCAAATCTCTTCCATGTCACATTCCTTTCCAGGCACACAGGCTGCCTCAGGTGTGGAAGGACTGAGAGAGCACATTGATGGGTCTCCCCAGCAACGGCCAGTGTTCTGCAGATCCAAGAAATGGAAAGAGAACGAGAATCTTCAGGTTCGAATGGGCATCGGCCGCCCTTACCAAATTCAACTCATGCTCGGGGGCCAAGCTATTGCGCTGTGCCACTCTAAGTTTTGAAAATTTTCAGTGGCTCCTCAGTGCCATCAGGATATAGTCCAGATTTTCTGAGGTGACCTTTGCCCCCCATGGTCTAGCCCAGGCTCCTCTTTCAGCCCCACCTCCCACTGTGCTTGTGTGCTCCCCATTCTTCTTCTGAGAAGGTGCATGAATGCCCAGTGCACTCCTGTGCCCACCACCTACACAGGTGTAACAGTGCTTCCTGCCCCATGGATGCCCTCACTGCTGTACCCATGTTGCTTCAGCCTGAAAACAGACTCCTTCGTTTAAATGCTACCTCCCCACTGAAAAACCCTTCTGGATTTGTGCAGTGGGAATGAAATCTACCCTCTCTACACTTTGCATGAGTTTCTATTAGATGACAGTCATGTTTCATGTGAATGTAAACTGCGTGATCTTGAAAGTAGTGTGAACAGAAAATGACCAAGTCTTGTCAACCAGTAAAAAGAAGTGGCTAAAAAGACACTGAGATAACTGGCATCATCAGAACATAAACTGCAGATTAGCTAACAGCGTCGTGTCCATGTTCAGCTTCCGGAATTTGGTAACTACACCACAGTCTTCAGAGAACAGCCATTCTTGGCAATGTACACTGAAGTATTTATGAATCGAGAGGCATGATTTCTGCAACTTACTGTCATGTGGTTAAGAAAAAAAACTATATAGAAAGAGAACGATGAAATAGATGGTGTGAAATGTGAGCACCGGGTGAATCTGGGTAAAGGGTATATAGCAGTTCCTTGCACTATTATTGCAACACTTCTGTTAAGTTTAAGATCATTTCCAAGTGAAAATGAAAAGGTTGCCTTGGGTGTCCAACCACTACCCCAATCAAAGCTTGTGTCTTCCTGTTCACTCACCCAAATGCCCCCTCCCCCGCCCCCACTGAAGTCACCAGCCAAGTTCTACCTAGATGCTGCTTCAAGGCATTTTGGATCTGGCCTGGAGAAGGTACCTCGTAACTCCCCAGAGGCCCTCGCAGTCACTGGTGGCTATCCTGGAAGGGGCAGGCACATGTTCCTGAGGGGAGAAGCTGCCATTCCACGATCCCCTTCCCTATCCATCCACTTGGCTTCCAGGTTAAGCCCTCTCTTTAGTAGCATCTCTTGGGGACTCTGCCAACAGGCTTGGCCAGGCCCTCAGGCTGCAGGTGCCCCGCACCCTCCCCATCAAGAGATGCAGTCCCATGTCCATAAGAAGCAGTGAATCCAGCCTGACAATTTTCAGAGGTCATCTGTCTGATCTGGGAAATATATGGCTGAGTGGGAACTGACCCCGGACTAGAGCCTCACCTCTCTGGGTCTGTCTCTCCTCAGCTGTAGAATCATAATCTCTGAGTGGCTGATGCCTAGTTCTTCTCAGCTTAGTCTGCAGTGGTGGCTACGCAAGCAGCACTAGAGAACCACAGCCCCCAAGAGATCCAATTCCGCTTCGTGGCTCAAGGCTTTATCACTGAGTAACTATTTCTTCCTCCTTAGCATCCTGGGAATTATCAAAGCTTGACCGGGACACATCCTTCCGGGTCCCATAAATCTTTTATCTTTGAAAAAAGTGTTTAAACCCCCCTTACCTCTGAGCAGTAACAATGAAGCTGAGAACTTCCTCTTCCCCAGACAGGTGGCTTGTATCAAAGATCACGCTGAATTCATACTAGGGAAAAAGGAAGTGGTATTTGGCATCAGCAGGCATTCCAAACTTAAACTGCTCTCTTCCATCTTCTGCAGTGTGTGACCTCTGGAAGCTCATTTGCACGCTGAGCTTTATGTTTTATGCACAGCTTTCTGACTGTCAGGCCAGACACGCAGCTTTAACAGTAAAACCAAGCCTGACACATGCTCGGGCCAGGGACCTGTTTCTCCCGTTCAGCCCCCAAGGCTCTCTTCAGGAAGTGATGCATTTACGCTCTTAAGCTGGGACTTTCTAAGTTTCACTCACCTACCATCTTTCCAATTTCTGCCACGTCTGCAAATTATATCACCTGGGATATTTGCTTCATATTTTTGTTGCCTTACTCTTTTAAAGATTATTTTAAAAGAACAACTTATAGTACGATCATAGATGGGAATCCCGGATCACTTGCCAAAAAGAGATCCTGGATTCCCATCTATGATAGTGCTATAAATTGTTCACTGGTAAAAATGAATACAATGAAAACACAGCAATGCTGAATTCTGCTGCCTGTGGAAGCCTGAGCGTAAGATCTACTCCATCTTCGTTGAAAAGGCAGATGAGCTAGTGATAGAGAAGTGTTAAAGATATGCTAGCATGATGGGAAACATTCTCCTGCGTGTGGTTAGGATCGGAAGAGTGTTGAAAAGTCTTCTGCACTGAATGTTTGTGTCCCCCCCACCACTCCTCAAATTAATATATGGAAGGCTATGTGACAGTATGTGGAGGTGAGGTCTTTGGGAGGTAATTAGGTTCAGATGAGGTCATGAGGGTGTGGCCTTCATGAGGGAATTAGTGCACTAAGAAGGAGGAAAGACAAAGATCTCTCTCCCTCTCCACGCACACACACCAAGGAAAAGCCAGATGAGCAGACATAGAGAAGATGTTGCCTACAAACCAGGAAGAGAGCTCTCCCCAGGAACTGAACTGCCAGCACCTTGACCTTGAACTTCTCAGCCTAAGAACTGTGAGAAATACATGTCTATTGTTTCAACCACCCAGCCCATGGTAATTTGTTCTAGTCATGGGAGCGCATGCTGGGCTGCAGACAGAGGGAGCCCCGTCTCTGCTGGGTGACTTGCTGGGCTTTCTCCGGGAATCACCCTCTGCTCCCACGCCCCCAGCCCCAGGTTTAGTCAGTCTTGCCACAGGTCCCAGCATCTGTGAGAGGAAAGTGGTGGCATTACCAGCTGGGAAAACAACACACATTCCAGTGTTCACACTTCCTTGGGCTCTATCACTATTTTGAAGGTTAATAAATGTTGGCCCGGCACGTTGACTCACGCCTGTAATCCCAGCACTTTGGGAGGCTGAGGAGGGTGGATCATTTGAAGTCAGGAGTTTGGGACCAGCCTGGCCAACCAACATCGTGAAACCCCGTCTCTACTAAACACACACACACACACATACACACACACACACACACACACACACACACAAATTAGCTAGGCATCGTGGTGGGTTCCTGTAATCCCAGCTACCAGGGTAGCTGAGGCTGAGACAGGAGAATTGCTTGAATCCAGGAGACGGAGGTTGCAGTGAGCCAAGATTGTGCCACTGCACTCCCACCTGACAGTGAGAGTGACACAGAGAGACTAATCTCCAAAAAAAAAAAAAGAAAAGTTGACAAAATTTAACACTCTGCTAGAGAGAGAAAGACACATCTTAGGTCTAGTATGTGACATAGGCTGGAGTGTAAAACGAAATGGAAACTGTTACAGGTTTTTCAATTAAATCTATTATCTGTTACTCAAAAGATTTTAATTACATTTGTGTGGAGAGGTGCCACATAAGCATAGGCAACGGCATCCACGGATTGGGGTCATCCTCCCTCATCTCCACCCTTACCCTACCTGGAGTCTAGCAAGACTTGACCTATTAATCCATTTTCCAAGGGCAGCCACTTATTGGGGTTTTGCTCCTCCTGGGGTGAATGTGGACAGAATGAGGAACAGAGGCAGAAAAAAATCTGAGGAGTCATGGGCATAAGAGCCACTGTGGTTTAGCCAAGATCACACAGTTTGTTAGAACCTGGTCCTATAACCCCTACCCAGGGGTTCCTCCCACATTCCTGACATGTACAGGGTAAATGCCATTTGTCTGGGGCAGTGTTCCCCAAATCACAGGATGTTCACACTGGTAGTGACACACTAACATGATTTTTAGGTTCACGAGATAGATTATCTTGGGTGAGAGGCGAACACAGCACTGAACAACACTGACCCTAATAGTGAGAAAGTTAATACCTTTTGCCCTAGTCAGTTTGGGATTCTATCACAAGTTACCCCAGCCTGGTGGTTTAAACATTTATTTCTCACAGTTCTGAAGGCTGGGAAGTCCAAGATCCGGGTGCATTCAATGGGGTTTATGGATTCAAGTGATTTGCTAAGAAATGACCAAGTCTTCTCCCTCACCAGAACATTCTCACCATCGGTTTACAAACCGCTACTAGATACTGGGACCAAAGAGCCTTGGAGATTAAAATGATCTGACTGTATGACCCAGGCAGATTAAGTTTTCACTTTTTTTTTTTGAGATGGAGTCTCACTCTGTGGCCTAGGCTGGAGTGCTGTGGCACGATCTCGGCTCACTGCAACCTCCACCTCCCAGGTTCAAGCGAGTCTCCTGCCTCAGCCTCCCGAGTAGCTGGGACTATAGGCAAATGCTACCACATCTGGCTAATTGTTTTTGTATTTTTAATAGAGACATGGTTTCACTGTGTTAGTCAGGATGGTCCCAGTCTCCTGCCCTTGTGATCCACCTGCCTCGGCCTCCCAAAGTGCTGGGATTACAGGCATGAGCCACCACACCTGGCCAGCTTTCACTTTTTTAAGGGAAATAGGGCAGACAGAGGAATACGAAATTTCTTTCAAATCATGGCAGGGAAAATAGCTTCCCTTTCCAAAGGGAGATTTGGTCTTTTAGATCCTAGTTTTGCCTCCATACACCATATATTTTTACCTATGTTTGTATCTCCTTATCATGATGGCACATCATATACTATTTGAACTTAGAAATCTGTCTCCAGACCAATTCCAAAGTGACTTAATTTCATTGCTCTTTTAAAAAATGAAGTGGGATACATTTATTTACGTTTTGAGAATTTTGAGAGGTCTCTTCAGAAAACTGTGAGCACCCAAGGGAGTGACAGAGTCAGGACTATAGGTGACAGACCACATCTTCTCTTCTGTTGTCTTGGAGACTCAGAGGCACGGAATGTCCCGGAAAAAAATATTTTAGGAAGGCCAACTCTATGGTGCCTGCCAAAGTGCAAAGGCCGTGGCGCGTCCTTCACTTTCACATTTGGGGCACATCATGTGAATCAAAGAGAAGGACCACATGATGCAGCCCCTCTGGAGTAGACCTTGGTGTGCACTGCCAGGGACAGGAGAGTGCCAGGGCTGCGGCACTGCCAGGGACAGGAGAGTGTCAGGGCTGTGTCAGGGCTGCAGTGGCCACCCAAGCTGCAATGGGAGGCAGGGGTGTGGGAGGACACCTCACCCCAGGGAGGCAGCGGTGGCACTGGTGGCTGGTGGGAAGGGCTGGGGGCCTGCTGCCGAGGAAGGGCCCTGTCTGTGTCCCTTACCTTCGACTTTGACCTCATGAAAGGAAATCCCACGCTGCATTTGAGGAAGTCCAATTCCAGCAGCTCACAGGAGATGCCCATCTCCTCCTGAAAGAAAAAGCACCAACAGATGGGCCGGCTGCATGAAAGGCAGGTGTGCAGGAGCAGGCCCCACAGGGCATTCGAGTCCTTTGGAGCAGTGCTCAGACAGCAGGCACCAGGGGGACAAGGTGCCCTGACCAGGCCGTCTCCAGCCCTCTTCCAGTTGCCCACCTTTCCCATGGGTTCCCTGGGAAGACAGGTAAGAGGACAAAACCCCTCTTCATTCTTAACTAATGCTTTGGGTTCAAACCCTAGGGTGGTCCTGGTGACCTGGGCTGAGCCATGGGTAAGCTGGAGACCTCCTAAGGTTTGGATGAAAAGGCAACTCTGTCATCTTCCTGATCCCTTTCTCCTAAGCCCACCCCCTAATCCTGCCTTTTCAGATCCTGGAGGTTTAAGAAAGACAAACTCTAAGAAAATCACACCAAGAAAAGAGAGGGTTTCTTCCTAAAGCCTGAAGCAATGAGGGCTGGGCTGTCCACCGCCAAGTCTCCCCAGGGTGTGGGGAGGGTACAAGGGTGAGGAGAGGTTTCCAAGCATAGGCAGCTTAGAAACCACAGGGCTTCTCAGAGTCACTGGAAGCAAATCAGGACTTCCAAGGGGAGACAGTATGTTCACAGATTTTGGAGGAGAAGGTACAGAGGTCCTCCAATTTCTAAGACGCACATCTCAGCTCAGACTAACATTTCAAGGCATTTAGACAGGTGGATGAAAAAAATGTTTTACTGTGTGTTCAACTGGTAAAAACGTGAGCATTTGCCATAATATGTCTACTTAAATTATCCAGCTATGCATATCTTATTATTCTAATATATCATGAACATTATCAAATGCACCAAAAATGCACTTTTATCACCTTAGTCAATGGGGCTAAACATTTTTAACCTTAGTCTATGGGGCTGAAAATCAAGACAGTAATTGTGGAATAAGTGGAAGGCAGGTCTCCTGCTGGTCACACAGGTCTGATCATTTCCTGAAGGCTCATTCAGCTGGAAACTTAATAACTTGTATATTTTTGTTTCTTTGTTTGTTAAACATCCATACACCTTTGCTTAGGAAATAGCAATGAAACAAAACCCCCAAAAGCCCAAATGCAATCAAACAAAAGAGATACACAAATATAAAACTAAACTCTAATGTATCTTTTCGGCATCCAGTCCTGGAGATAACTGATCTCAATGATGCTGAGTTTTCTAAGAGCTGTCTGTGCTCTTAGCCAGTGTTATTCACACAGAGACCCGGGATCACCCGCGTTAGTGTCACCGTGGGAGCCTCTTTAAAAATGCAGATTCCTGGGTCACACTCTAATTGCATTGCACGAGTCTTCTCTGAGTAGACACAGAGACTGCAGGGTCTGGGATGAGCATTTTCAACATACAGTGAGCGATAAAAGAAGTGGTTCTGCGGGGCAATGGTGTTTGGGAGCGGCTGCTATGAGCTTTCCTTCCTTCAGTTCATCCGGCTGGCTGCCAGAGGAAGCTTCTTAAAACATGTCCCTCCCCACTGCAAACAGAATCAAGTCTCAGATCTGAATCCCAGCTTCCATTTTGGCCCGTCCCTTTCTGTTACTGTTCTTCTATCCCTTGCCCTCGGCACACACATGCTACTATTCTACACACAGCCTGCTTGCTCTCATGTCCGCACCTCTGTTTAAGTCGTCCTCACTTTCTTCAGCCCTTCTTCCAAGGCTTTCTTCCTCTGTTTTGCCCCAAACACTGATGGATGGTAAGTTCATGTACGTAACATGCAAATGGCACAGGATTCTGAATGGGCCCTAGGCATCCACTGGGTAGCTGAGATAGAATATCACACGCCACATTTCAGCACTGAGGGAGCAGTTCTGAAAGATGTTAGTCACTGCCCTTATAGAGCTCAGAGTTCAGAATGGGGACCTCCCAACATGAAAACAGATATTTACATGGCTGTGTGATGGCAAGTGTGAGAGCTGCTCCCAGAACCTAGAGAGCAGACACTGGCATTTCAATAAGGAAAACTGGAGAATAATTTCTCAAATGCTGTCTGAAGAACTGCATGATATTAAAGATTCACCATAGGTGGCTTTCCACTACCGTCTTCTTCTCCATATTCCTGCCACCAGAAGCAACACCCACAATTGTTCCAAGTAGACACTACCCTAAATCCTGGCTGATGGGCCTGTGGACATCAGAGGCAGCAAGCCGAAGTCTAGGGTGACCTCTTGGTTTCCTCGGATGGTCCTGGTTCACGTCTGTCATTCTTGTGTAATTACTCTCAAGTGTGTCCCAGGATGAACAAATATATAAAAATGTGTATGTGTGTGTACCTCTCACACACACATACACACATATTATATGCTTCCCTAACTCTGCTCCCAATTTCTCTTGTAATGCCTAGTACTCACTGGGAATTCCTTTCACACCAGGAGAGAAGCTTTAAGTCAAAGCACTATCTGTTCTTGAAGTAAAGATTTATTGGCTGGGCATGACGGCTCACACCTGTAATCCCAGCACTTTGGGAGGCCAAGGTAGGCATACCATGAGGTCAGGAAATTGAGACCATCCTGGTCAACATCGTAAAACACCGTCTCTACTAAAAATACAAAAATTAGCTAGGCATGGTGGCATACGCTTGAAGTCCCAGTTACTCGGGAGGCTGAGGCAGGAGAATAACTTGAACCCGGGAGGTGGAGGTGGCAGTGAGCTGAGATTGCACCACTGCACTCCAGCCTGGAGACAGAGTAAGAAGGAAAAAAAGGATTTATTGCCTCAAAGACTTCTTCGGTTTTCACATATGTGAAGTATATGTCTTCAAAAATTTACTCTGGAACTCAAGGAAACATCCATTTAATTAGCTTTGACCTAAGACAACAGTATTTTGATCACTCAAAAGCTGCTCAGCTACCTTATTTTTATTAATTCCAAAATACTAGAAAATAACATTTATACCAGCATTTATTTAGCTGTTCAGCTATTCCTGGGCTCCCACCCCACTCGGTCAAATAAAAATTTCAAAAGTCTGGTTGGATCTTGGTGAGGACGGGCCAAAAGAGTAAAGCGAAGGCATCATCTCTAGGAACAAGAGAGCTGAGCTTGTGGCTCATGACTCATGTGCTCAGGGATGGTGCTGCCGGAGGAGATGTCGTGCACCACCCTTCTGCCGCCTGTCATCCCCAACACAACTGTTTATACTGGCCGTGTAAACTGCCCTGACCACATGTTCTTAATTCTATACCCCCTCTTCTGCTACTGTGATTTCCAAGGAGGCCCAGAGGTGTCTCAGGGCATGGACTTTGGCAAGCACAGCGACTCCCTGTGCAGTGCTGGCGGTGCTGCACTGAGAACCCCCTTACTAGATAGGTACAACAGCTTTAAGGAAGTTGCTTTGCTTGGGAAGTTATGACACCTTCCCCAAAGGCATTTCGTAGCCTCTGATTGACATGTCATGACTGATGGGACCAACTACAATTAAAGTTCCAGAGCACCCATGGGACGGGGTGAAGCAGACTCCAGCAGGGCCCATGTCCCTGTTTGGCTCCTCTTCTCCCAGTAAATCCCCTTTATGAGAATCCATCTCGGGTGCGGCTTCTAGTGAACCTGACTTCAGAAAATACTGTTCCCTTAGGAGGCTGCTGGCACCAAGAGCCACTAGAAAGTCCTGGGCATCTGCCCCCAGGTGGGGAGAGGCAACAGAAGGAGGATGAGGGGGAAGCTCACATGTTTATGATTCTTGTTTAAATTCATACTAAGGAAGAGAAAACAGTCCTAACTGTAGTTTGTAAAGGCTGCAGGGCCTCCCCCATTAGGGGAGCCCTTCATTCAAGGCAACAGCATTACCCACTTTGTTCTCCTGGTTTCAGATCATGCCTAGGGCATAACCTCATAAAGCAGGGTCATCATGGAGCCACATGTCTTCTTGGTAGCCAGGCAGGTACCCAAGAGTTACAGAGAGACCCACAATGTAATTTTTAAAAATAAAAATAAAATCACATTTTAAAAATGGATTCAGTTTTAAAAATCAATTCATTTAAAAATAAAAGGCCAAGGCGAATGGATCACGAGGTTAGGAGTTCAAGATCAGCCTTACCAATATGATGAAACCCCGTCTCTACTAAAAATTTAAAAAACTTAGCCAGGTGTGGTGGCACACACCTGTAGTTCCAGCTGCTGGGGAGGCTGAGGCAAGAGAATCACCTGAATCCAGGAGGTGGAAGTTGCAGTGAGCCAAGACCACATCACTGCACTCCAGCCTGGGCAACAGAGGAAGACTCTGTCTCAAAAAAAAACAAAAATACACATTTTGGGGAGATTTGGCGAAACTAAGCTGTCCCGAGCTCAAGGCAACATGCCCGTGGAGAGTGCTCTGGTTGGGGCTGCCTATGACCTCTGCCAGGCACTTGGGAACCACCAGGAGGCACATGGAAGAGATTCAGAACCAGGCTTCTCCTGTGCTGATTCCTTCCATGTTCTAACCATTTCCTACCCTGGTCTTAACTTAGAGAACTTAACATTCGCATTTTATCAAGGCTGATGGTTACAAGACTCTCAGTTGACTGGGAATGTGGAGTGAACAAACTGTCTATCCAATGTCCCTAATGCCAGACAGTGTAGACATCTGATTATCTGATTACAATAGAAAGCAAATCAAATACAGAGTGAAACCGAAATCTTGCTCTAAGAGTTTCATGAAATTAATGAACAGATAAAACTACTGCAAAGCAGCCGAACAATCGATCTGTCAGTCAGATCAGTTAACTGTCGAAGGAGTCAAAATTCTCCTGGATGCTACTTTAAGATGCTTCAGATGACAAAGATTTAAACTAAAAAGATCAAGAAAAGCCCTCAGGAAAAACTGGCCATTGTAAAAATGATCCTTTTGTGATTGTACCAAAAACTACACAAAATATGAAGCAAAGGATGTTATCTTATGAAACTGTAGGAAAATCCACATTCAAAAGCTGCCTATTCAATACTCAGTTCCTTCTTTTGTTTCAGAAGTTAGGGCACTGTTATTTTAAAGACTCCAATAAA